TTCTATATTTTGATTTATTGTATAAAGTTAGCTGTTTTGAGCTTAAAAATTTTACCTTTAATTTTAATTCAATTATTAAAAAATTTATGAGGTTTAGTTCACTTAATTTAAAATATCACATAATTAGAACAATTAATATTTAAGTTGAAATTAAAAAAATAACATAAAAGCTCTTCAGAAAAAAAGTTTTTGATAAAATTAACTTTTAAAATTAATTTTTTTTTAAACGATTTAATTAGAAATCCTATTATTTGTATCTTATTCCTTCATTTATTTTAGCAATAATACATAAATTTATTTGAAGAAAAAATATTTATTTTTTAATTACGTGTATAAAATCTTTAAGTGTGATAAAAATCTTATAGTACAAAAGCTTTTATTCAAACTTTCGCATGGAAAACATTAGGCTCCAAATGTGCCATATGTTTTTCTTTTTACTTCTTTGGCAATCTTTATGAAGCTTCTGTTGTATTTCGTTCAAAAAGCCCAGTGCCGAATCTGTGCAAATCCTATTTTTCAGTATTAGAATATCAACCATGATTAATAAATATAAAAGTACCATGCCATGCACGGCGTTGCTTAATATTTGCCTCTCACTTATTTACAAACGAAACAGAAAGAACGCTTGTTGCATCGTTACTATGGGCCGGCGAGTAGTTATTGCAGAATATATTCAAGGCAGCGGTGATATTTCAGACCGCAGAGGCAATATGGCGGCCTGCATAAGCGCCGAATCATAAATAAAACCACTGACATTGCCTTGCGTCCGCTGAGAATATCGAGAAAGATTACATTATGGAAAAATGTTTTCAGAATTGCTTTGTTAAAAACAATACAAGCTATTTTTTTTAAATTAAGTAGATAATCGATTGCTAGAAACCCGCTAGTGTCGACCATGTAGTTTTATGAATTTATTAGGTTTTAAAATGTAATTGCTGTTTGCATTTACATATGAATTATTCACCTTCTCAATGCATCTTGAGTTAGTAATTGACAAAAACAGCGAATGATTAATAAATATCTCTCTTTAATTATTAACATTTCACTGTCCATAACTTTATAAATAACGCTCTATTCTATTTCATATCTCTTGTTCTGCTTATACTTGCTCCATCAATATTCTACAACCTTTGTCTAGGTATTTGTATTAACATAATTTGATATAGCAAGAATTATAATCTTTTGATGTGCAAATAGTTATAAAACGAAAGAATGTATCATATTTGAACATAAAATATATACATAATTTTTACTTGACAGATTTTTAATCGTTATAATAATTTAAAATACTGTACACACAATGTAAATTGTAAACTATTCTACGAGTATAATAAACCTTTTTTTATAAAAATATAAAAATTCTGAATAGAATTACATAATTATATTACTATCAACAATCAAAAATTAATATTAGTTGTATCTGATTTGTTAAAATACAAATAAATTTGTTAATAATACAAAATATTGACGTTCAAGTATACGATTTAGATGTCCGATACGTAGTCAGCAAACTCTTCTCTAATTATTTTCCTTAATTATCTTCCAAAACATGTTAAGATACGATAATCCTATTGCAATCTATCGCTGCAATTATATGCATCAGAAGATTAAATATTTTGAAATTGGTGACTGTGACTTTCATCTTACAATTGTAATTTATTTTATTAATACACTTTATCATATATAGCAGCAATGCTCTCATTAATACATTCATTATTATTGTTTTGAATGTGGAATCTTGTGAAATTTTCTCGATAATCTTTTTTATTTTATTTATTTTATTTGTTATGTGTTTTATTCAATTAAACGCACCCGTAAAATCAGATTACCAATACTCATTGCTGTATGATCTGAAAGCTCGTGACATTCGTAATTCACATCGGATGTACGTGCAAAACAAATATAAAATACGTACTAGATACGAAGGATCAAACTAAAATATATAATGTCATTGATAAATTAAGCACACACATATTCGATGTATTTTATATGAATTGAAAAAAAGAAACAACTAAGCAACTGAGTAGATTATTTATCCATATTATAAAAACTTTCAATATAGTTACATTTCTAAAAAATTTGCACAAAAAAAAATTAGCAAAATTTTTACACTTCCTTAATATGTTTATCAATTGTCATGAAATATGTTTTTGTCAGTCTTGACAAGAGATATCAAAGGTACTTTTTCTGTTGGTCCAGAATTGAGGCTTGCTTTATTAATGATCAAACGATTGTTGGTTTATCGGTCGTTATCCATATGATAATCTAACGATAGTTAGAATACGAGAATCGGAACGCAAGCTCGATTTTACCTTTAATCAGGTCGTTGTTCGCAGGGGAACGTAAACTCAACCATGCATAATCGATGCACGTTGATTTGTATGCGTGCTGAACTGAATTACAGACGTAAATAACCTGCGACATCATACCTTGTTATCAATTGACCAGTATAATATGTCGCCATTATAAATTAGTAAATATCATAATTTATATACACCTTACAAAGTTAAAAAGGAAATTACAAAATTGCACTGTTAATTAATTTTAATAACTTCTATTTAATTATGCCGTAATTTACAATTTGATTAAAGAAATGTTTGCATATTGTGTAATTTAAATTAATATTAATTACCAATATGAATCAACTATTTATCTGTACATTTCTATATTATCAAAAGGATACACACAAACAGCTATTGAAGTAATCTAAAAATCAAAGTATATTGTCCATATATTGTAGGCAACGTATTATAGAATTTAATATAAGAAGCAGGCTTTTTAGAATCATTCAGAACAAAGGACTTCTAATTAAATGAGAAATTATAAGAAATATTATAGTTTCTACATATAATCATATCATGTAATTTATATTGCGGTAAACAAAAAATATCATCATAAAGCTCAATTAATGAATAGTTTTTGAGTAGTGAAAATGATATGAAATGTGTAAAATGTACTTACAGAGCAGTTTGGATACACCATAACTCAAAAACTATTTATTCTAAACCTTGTGTCTATATCCCAGAAAACATCAACTAACAATAACATAACTATTATATAATTTCCCACTCACAATATAACTGTAATATAACACATATTGTACGAAACAGTTACAGTTATTGTGGAGTGGGAAAATATAACTAACAGTTATGTTACTGCCTTTGCTGGCTGTGACATCTTTTGTTCATCGCTTTATATACACTAACAAAAATATTACTATATCTTAATAAGTATTTCTTTAAATTAAGTAAGTAAACATTTACTAAATGTTAACATATATTTATTTGATACGAGAACCATTAATCCGATTTAACTATCATTTTTTCATTGAGTAAATATTTATTTACTATAAGTAAATGTTTACTTATAAATGAAAAAAAATTACTATATCTTAATAAATATTCAAAAGAATATTTATTAAGCTATAGTAATTTTTTTTTAGTGTAAACTACATTATATGTGAAAACTCATTATACATCAGAATTCAATTTACGCATTAATGCGTAATCTATTATAATTATCTAATAGATAATAGGCAGGTATTGCTTTCATCGATATATTTAACTTGAACCAATAAAAAAGTTACTACATATTTATTAATTTAAAGATATAATTATTTGAATTCAAATGTATAAATTTTGCCAGCAATTATAATATAAATTTTGATAACAAAATGCAATTGATAGGCTACCACTTGTAATTCTGTGATCTGAAAAGAGAATTTAAAACGTAGCTTCCTTTTCGAGAAATAAAAGAAAAAAAGGAAAACAATTGATAGAGGAAAGAATTGTAGACAAATTTTCAATTTAGAAATACCGCGTAAAGTGCGTCTCCTCTGTTTTGTAGCGAATTCCATTTACTTTCTCAACCTAAAACAATAATTCTAAAATGAAAAAAACGGCGGCACTCGGAGAGAGTTTCTTTCACTCAATAACGCAAGATTTTAGTAGTGTTGTATGCATTTTATATTTACTCCTCTTTGTCCTATTTAATTTTTTGTTCTTTTCTTTTGTTGCACATATCGTTTATTTACTGTAAAATAAAATATAGAATATATCTACTATATTTATTATATTCAATGACATTTTGTGTAAAAAGTGAACGAAATAACTGTTAATGACGATGCTTTATACGAGTTATAAATAAGACGCTTTTGCCTTAGCGAAAGATTATAAAAATTTTTGAATCGCGCGTCATTTTCCTAACGAAACTTTTTGCGAGAGGAGAGCAATATAGCGGCCATTACCGTAGGATCGAGGGAAATTCTTGACCCAGTACTTTCGCAAGAGTTAAAGGGCCGCATGGTTTGAGTGGACTTTGAAATCCAGCGTCGTTGAGCGAGTTTTTGAGTGAGCAGCTGCTGCTCATCGTCGTTTAGCATTGCTAATGTCAAAGAAGTAGTCATTTTTTTCCAGCACATTCTTCTTAATTCATTTCACGTCCAAATAATTTTGCTATTCCACTGTACATGAAGGAGAAGGGGGGGGGGAGAGAGAAAGAGAGAGAAAGAGAGAGAAAGAGAGAGAAATTACCCCGCTTTCGGTTGTATTCTATAGGCAATTATTTTTTTACGGAAAGAACTGAAAAACAAATGTGGCAGGTTTTACGAACCGTGTAAATTTTTCCAAGGGACTTTTGTAACCTTGGAAAAAAAAAATAAAAAAGATCGCGGAAAAATTGCAAAAATTTTTTTTTGCGATTCTTTAAAATCATAGATAATATGTTCGAATTAACGTGTAGATAAAGCGAATAATTAAAGTGCGGAAATGTACGGAAGTAATTTGAAAACGGTACTGTAACGTATAAACGTGTAACTAATTTTTTAAATTACGATTTGAAGGTTAGACGTTAAGTAACAGTTGATATCTTCTTTTTATCGTGTTAATGAGTACTGTATATATTGTGTTCGTCGAACGTATGTTGAATAGTATAGATAGTGAATGTGACAGAAGTATTGGATAGTGAATGCGACAGAAACTTTTGGAACATTGAAAAGTCAAGCGCAGATTGTACATTTTCGTACGCTCGAATGTGAAATTTAAAATACGATGTCGTGGCTAAAGGAACGCATTTTGAATTGGTTTCAATCCGTGGCTTTAAGGGTTATTAAGACTGGCGAAGTGCCTAAACACGTGGCGCTTATCATGGATGGTAACAGACGTTATGCGAATAAACATAACTTGAGAAAAAAAGAGGGACACTCAAAAGGGTATGTATTTCTAAAGAGAATTTGCAGATATACTGGTCCGTTGTTCATTTGTCTCATATTTTATTTGCGATAGGTTGGAGACATTAATTGAGATATTAAAAGCATGCATGGATCTCGGTATTGTAGAAATTACAATTTATGCATTTAGTATAGAGAATTTTAAACGTAGTAAAGAAGAAGTTGATGATCTCATGGACCTTGCCAGGAAGATGTTCAACCGTCTCTTAGATGAGAAGTATGTGTAACATTAAAATTTTTTAAATCCGGTATCACATCCCAGCACAATATAGATTTTGTTATTATTTTATATAAACAATTTCTAGGAAGAAATTGAAGGATATTGGAGTGTGTATTCGCGTGATTGGTAATTTTTCTCTGATACCAGAAGATCTACGCAAAATAATTGCTAAAACTATGATTTTTACTAGGGAAAATAATAGAATGTTTTTAAATATTGCTGCTGCTTATACATGTAAGTAAAATTACAATGAACCATATTTATGTTTATACTTGATCTTATATATTACAGTTGAAGCTGGATCTTCATTGCTTTAAATAATTCCATCTTGAATTACTATATACTTGCATATATATCATATGGTAGTCTTTTTAGAACTGCGCGCCGAATTGTTTTTCCGGACCATAAACGCAATTAAAACTACTCTAGTAATCGCAATAAATTTATTAACAGTTTCAACATATTAACATCTTTATAATATGATGTTTGCATCAAATTATTAAATTGCTAGTCAATTTAATTCGCGATTACTAGAGTAGTTTTAATTGCGTTTATAATCCGGAAAAACAATTCGACGCGTAGTTTTAAAAAGATTACAATATGGTATATATGCAAGTACATATATAGTGTATATTAGTAATTCAAGATTGAATTATTTAAAGCAATGAAAATTCAGCTTTGACTGTAATAGGCATTTTTCTAGTATTGATTGTGTTTCTCACATATGCGGTCTAAAATAAAGATTCTTAATATTGTTTATATATTACACTAAGCCTGCGTTCATGGAGTGTGCTATCAGCATTATTGCATCATTCTGTTTTATGTCATTCTCTTGTTTTATGTCTCATAAACAATTAAGATAGAATGATGCAATAGTGATAACAGCTTATGCTTCCAGAGTACAGCTTAAACCGATTTAAAAAAATCATTGATATATCGGTGTACTCTCTGGACAATTAGTTTCGTGACGTATATATAAATAAATATTTGCCTTTGTAAAATTCTTTATAAATAAATATTTAATATTTTATATAATTTAAAAATACCTACACATACACACGTGCATAATTTTTATATTTTTTAATATCGCTATAGCAAGGGATGAAATTACTCATGCAATTAGGGATATAGTACAAGGTGTAAAGGATGCTGATATTTTACCTGAAGATATTAACGAAGATCTGATTACTGATTGTTTGTACACTTACAAGTCTCCAAATCCAGATTTATTAATTCGTACTTCCGGAGAAACTCGACTTAGCGATTTTCTTATGTGGCAAGTAAGAAAACGTACTTAATTTTTGTGATTTGAATCTATCTCCTTGTAATCAAAGCAGAATTGTGCATTTCAAAATTTTACCTAAATTTCTTTTAGATTTCCCATACCTGTATCTACTTTACCGAAGTATTGTGGCCTGAATTCAGTCCATGGAATTTACTTAGCGCAATTTTTTATTATCAGAGTTGTTATCCTTACTTGCAGAAAAATAGAAAAAATTTGAAACGAATTATGCATAATACTAGAGTATCCATGTTTCTTGATAAGTTGTATAACAAACGTGACATGGCAATCGAAAAAATATAATTTTTTTATTCCATTATTTTAATTGTTTTACGTATTATTATAAATAAACTGTCTATTGACTAGGAAGTAGCGCAAGAACCTTCTTAACAACTTAAATTGTAACATTTTTGTAACGTGAATTTGGACAGTTTATACTTTTGTTTAAGACAGTCTTAAAACTTACTTTAAGAAAAATATAAAAGAAAGTTTTTCTTCAAGATAATGTTGTAATTGTAAAATAATGTTTAAAATTCTGCGTCGTAGAGCGAGTTTTTGAATGAGCAGCTGCTGCTCATCGTCGTTTAGCATCGCTAATGTTAGAGTATAGAGTCCCTATAAGAGAGTCGCGTCAATCTGAAGTAAAATGGCGTCTAACAGGGACTCTATTAGAGAAGGACTCTAGACTCTATACAGCATAGAGTCATGATAGAAACTTTGATTAATAAAGTGGTGAAATTATTTTCAAAATTATAAATAGGTAAGCCTATACATTATTATAAAGATTTCGAATTAAAGATATATAAAAGATACAGATATACAAGATACAGATGTGATAGGAAAGCGTCGAAAGTGATATTCTAATCTTATCATCAATCCTATAATTGTCAAAATGGGCGTTTCAAATTACCAGTATATAGCAGTTTGACGAAGGCAAAACATTTTATTGTAAAATAAAAGTATTATTAAATGGAAGTGTTATTTCATTACTGTTTCGTATCATCACTATTTCAGTTCCAAAAGTGTAAAACTAATTCATATAGAAAACAGATCTACTTCTATCAATATTTTGTAATTTTACATAAATTCTACTCTCTTGTCAATATTATATAATTTAACGTAAATTCTATTCTCACAATTTCTAAAATCTAAATCTCACCGCGTTCACGATACTCGAAATGGGGATATAATAGCATCGATGGTTGGTTCCACGATTTTACTTTAAAGCCAATGAAAATTTATACAAGATTAATGCGACTCTCTTATAGGGACTCTCTTAGAGAGGTAGCCATTTTTTTCGGCACATTCTTCTTAATTCATTATTTCACGTCCAAATAATTTTACATACTATTCCATTTTATACTATTCCATTGTACATTTAATTGTGTTAATTTAAGTTATAATAACTGAAGAGAGAGAGAGAGAGAGAGAGAGAGAGAGAGAGAGAGATTCTTCTCTTCTTCTCCTTCTTTAAAAATAAAAAATAACTTTAAATTGTTTTGAGTTTTACACAAGAAATAAAATATCATAGTTAAAAATATTCTTAGGGAATAAATAATCCGAAGAAAATTGTATTGAATCGTGAAAGTTCTCAAAAAACAAGGAAATAGTTTCCAATGTTAACTCATTAATTTTTCGATTTTATGGTGCTTATTTGAAATGACATGGGCTCTTCGCACCCTCCTTAACTGTCGATCGTGGCATCGTTTATTCCTTCAAAAAGCCCGGTTCGAAAAAAAAAAGGATGAGCGCCCGCCACGCGATAAGGCGGGGAAGTGACGACGATGCGGGGTGAGAGAGGGGTTAGCTGTACAGGCTGACAGAAGGATAGCATTGTTCGGAAGTACAATGTACGTTGTTATGCCAAAGCGGCATGCACGACCCTCGAGTACAATGGCGTCAGTGCGGGAGGAAGATAGCGCGTACCCGCGAAGAGAGAATACGCGTCGTCAGTTTCGGCGCGGAGACTGCAACTTTTCCCGACCCGCTCTCTTTCTCCCTCTCCAGCACACTTTTTTCCGATACTGTTTTTTCCCATCCATGAATTATAGCTCACGGTAGAACGATTCTGGAACGCTCGCGCTTTTTATGGAGCCGCAGCGCCGTTCATCACCGCAGGATGTTCCCGGATACACACCCTCGATAATTAAAGCGGAGCAGGACTTCACAGTCGCGGGACGAGTCGGGCCTTATTTATTTTCAACATCGTTTCAAGAAATTTTTGCTTCAGGTTTTAACTTTCGTGCGAAAACAACAAAGTTGTACATGTCCCGTTCGAGAAGAGTGTACAAAAATTAATCAATAAATAAAATTAAAAATTATTAGAAAAAAATATTAAATAGTACTTATGGAAAAATTTTAAAAAATATAAAGTTGACGTTGAAGTGAAAATCTTAAACAAAATTAATATTAAGAGTAATTTATTGCCACATAGATAGTTTTAAGCTTAGGACCCAATAAAAAGTACAAACAGTACTTTTATTGAAATATGAATAAAGAGTAACGGATTTTAATCTCGGAAACCATATTCTGATATATACGGTTGCTGACAGGTTTAAAACTCTTATTCCGTGTTCCTTTTGCTTATATTTTTATTTAATTGTCCATTAGGAGACTTAAATGATTTATTAGAGGCAAATTCTATAATATTATTATTGTTTATAAAACGTACGCAAATAATTTTATAGATAAATCTCTCAAATGTTGTGAAAAGTAAATAATGTAAAAATTTTATGAAAAAGATATGTATATTATACAATACCCTATAAATAATACTGAAGAAAAAAAAAATATTTTATAAAAATTCATGTTTTTAAATTGTGTACGTGATTAGCTTCTTTACTTTATTTTATTTTAACATTATTTAATATACGTATATTCGATATTTATCATATTATTTGTTTTCTATTATTTGTTGCAATGTGGGCACGGAAAACAGTGGACGCATTGCTGTATTGATAAAGTAAATTTTGCAAAAGCGTTTGTAAAACACACAACTTTTGTTCAATTAGCAAGTAAGTTAAAATTAAATATTATGAACAATGTAATATTGCGATGAATTTTGGTTGCAATTATTACAGCTGTTCGAAAACACAAATGCGTCAAAAACAGGTGCAGTTACGCGTCTGCAAGTGATAGTCGAGCGCCGAATTCAAAGCTGTACTCTCGTACATATTTCCTCGCGCTTGCTGCACGGGAATGAAAAGTCTGTTTTCCGACTTTCCTAGTAGCTGATAGTTTGTTTGCTCCGTCCTGGCTTTTTTGTTCACATCCGTGCGAGTATGCGTAACACACATTCGCGTAATGAATGTATATTTCCTGAAAACTCTCTGGCAATCTATAAGAATAGCATCAAATAGCAAAAAAATTAAATACTTGCAGTAATATTAAAAATCACTATAACAATCCAATCATCAATCAGTTTGTTTTCGATAATTTGTCAATAAATACAAAATATAGGCATATCTCTCCGCAATTTAAAATAATTTTCTTAATACTTTCTAATTATTATCAACATCTTTGCAAGCTTATATAGATAAATAAAGTATATATTCGAAAAGAAAACATTGTTTATTAATTCACTTAAATAAACATAAAATTACTAATTTTATTATAATTTGTGTTTTTTAAATACGTTCCTAATATCAGCAAACTGATCATATCGCGGTCGTATATTGGAACAAGTTATGTCCGGATTTTGGGAAACTTTTTAGGCTGTCCGGACATTGGTACATACACATGTATGAAGGTATTTGCAAATATTTTATTAATTACAAATTTATAATCGTTAATTTTTTAATTTCTTTTATTTAAAGCGTAATCTTTATTATGCGTATAAAAAATACAAAGATTACACTATTTTGATAAAAAAAAACTCATATTTTTAATAAAGATTAGCTCCTAAATGTCCGACCACTAGAATATTTATGTTAGCTTGATAAAAATGTATATATATACATGTATATATATATATATATAGTATTTTAATAAATGCACTGAATCACAGATAATACTCTAAATAACTTCTATTTGCAGCTACATACAGAAATGGCATATCTTTCAAGTGTTACTAATCTTATTACCGTTAATACGCAATTTTGCATTTTCGTAAAATTATATTACTCGTGATTCGACACAGAAAGTTCGTATAACACAATATTTGATTTAATATAATTATTGTATATAATAGGTTGACTTGTTCAAGAAACTATCAAGGGAACCAATGTAACGAAAAGTAATTATCAAGTTTATCAAAATTTAAATCAAAATAGTCATTTGAAACTACTAATGGATTGCTAATTAATGAAAAGATAGAAAATTTGAAACAGAAAATTAGTTTGAGACTTCATATTTTTTTTGTTACGAATAATAAAATGCTTAAAACTTTTATTACCTACTTATGCAATAAGATTGTATTATTGTTGTAAATATTTTTTTCCCTATAAGATATTTTTAATTCTATCATGAACTGCCGTTTGAGTGGAATTTTATTATTAATAAGAGAGTTTAATATTTTTTATTATGTTTTCTATTATATTTTATTTGACTAATTATTTGACTAATTATTAAATTTTGCGAATTCAAATATTTTTTGCTCTCCTGATTCGATTTCTACATTGGAAATTTGCTGAAAGATACTATTTGCTTTTTAAAATGTGAATTAATAAATTTGTCAGTTCCTGATCTTCCAATTTAGTCACCGTGTTGGAAATCACATAATCTATCTTGCCAGAAGACCGATGTAAATTAGTATTCCTTTCAAGAAAATTTGAAACAGTTGACCCAGTAAGAGATTATTCTCCTGTCACAATATTAGCCCCTGAAACTCCTTGCAGAAACTTTTTTGTCTGCAAGTTCCAAACTACCAAAGATATTCTCTTTTAAGTGCCTTGCTTCGTGTTTAATGAAGGGACGTAGGTGCAAGGGCGGGACGGATTGGGATAAAGTTGAACATTGGAGAACTGACGGAATGAATTGAAGAGGGAAGCGACAGATGATAGTATCAGAATGTAATTGAAACTTTCGCGCTGCTACTCCGTCATTTTTCTATCTGACATTTGGCGCGACGACGACGATGACGACGACGACGACGACGACGATGTTGGTATCAACGGTAACGCCGACATCTGGATTCATTACTTATAGTCTGGCTCAGTTATTACGAAACTTACGATGTCTCGGGATAGCAATTAAGGCTCCTCTCAGTTCCATTCTTTCTCGAAACGACATTGTACTAATTAAGCTGCGAGCACCGGAATCTGAAATGAAGCTGGGAACGGTTTTTAAAAGAAAATATTTAGGGC